CCACCCACCCACTCACACACACACACACACACACACACACACAGAGCTCAGTTCACCACAGATCTTCTGTAGCAGTTCCGATGAGAGGTGTTTGACAGTTCGAATCTACCCCCAGCTTTCCATCACTTCTTACATCTCAAAAAATTCTTGTCCGTTCAGCTTAACGCGTATCACAGTGACGCAGAATAACACGTGGCTGTCAAACACTATACCTATCCCAAGCGGCAGATTCCACGACACAGGAACGCAAATGTAGATGCCACGGTATGATTAATTTTTGGTGGTGAATTCACTCACTTCTGCTTGTGATTAAGAGGAAAAATAGTGCAAAATGTACTGAATCTGCTTCAATAAAGTTTTCTCCTGAAATTGGGTTTTCTTTTTATTAACGGTATAGGGAAACTTACCTTTAAATGAGTTTCGTTGTTTCAGATTTAAAGGAGAAAAATTATATAAGGAATGTTGAAAATATTTTAAACTCCAAATATGTGTTCTATTTAAGCTATTTTCAAGTAATTTATGATGTTTTATGCAATTGTTCTAATAATATTTGCAACTGTTTTATGAGTTTATATTTTTATATTTATCTTATAGAATATTAATTGCAAGACACTTAGTGCTCATCATTTATATGATAACTAAGCCTTGTGCAATTAATGTATCATAAATGTTACCCTATGGTATTTTGTTATTAGTTTACCACCTTGCAAGTTAGAAATTACTTATCACAAATTGCAGAAAACTTAAAAATTAATAAATATAACATCTGCATTTAAAAATGTGTAAGTAATGGAGACTAATACTCCCCAAAACATTGAACCGTCAGTATCATTAAGTCATGGGGGCTAATGTTGAATGCACATGCTGAAGAGATAACTGAAAATAAACTTTTAATGAATGAACGCTGATGTTTAGAAAAAGGAAAGCTGTAACTAGACGAACTGAACTGAAGTAGAAGAAAGTAAGTTATAAAAATAGCCCATTAAGAACCAGTCGAAAACGAAATCTATCTGTATATAAATAAAAGAAATTGTGCGTGTGTCGCACATAGACACCAAAACTAGTCGACCGTTTGCGCTGCAATGTTCACACTTTGTTATCATTAGTAATGGGAGTGATGAACGAGTGGTTTTAATTAAATCGGACATATGTGGGGCGTTGTTGATAATAATTTATTCATTTATGACGACTAAAGCGGCCCGCTTATGTACACTATGTGCGCCTACGCTCTATGCAACCCGCCGCACAGTTATGGATTAGTGCGTTTTCCCTGCATACAAGTATTCTCTTCCCTGCAATTGTGAAATATCATCCGGAATTATACTTGCATCTGGGACAAGCAAATCAAATTTCTCCAAGATAGTGTCATAGATAATGCATGCCCAAATTTGAGGGAGAACGTTTTAACAATAGGATACTCGACGACCATGTCCAAACCGGGACCTGGAAACACCCCATACTTGGGAGAAAGTCATCCATCTATTAGAATTTTCACACATCGTAGCTTAAAACGTGATCACTAAAACAATCACGTGGTCATTAGGTGTTGTGTAATACACTACAATAGCGAAACATTGCCGGGCCCTCTAGAATAATGTAAAATTGATAAATCGCTTCAATTACCTGAAGTCAGAAGAGTTGTTCCGAAGACGGTGGTGCTGTCTGAGCGCGACGCAGGGGCGTGCTGTCTTCGATTGCGCGGTCGGCCACTAAATCGCCTCGGTCGGCGCTGTGCAGGCGAGTTATTCGATCCTCCGACTGCACGGGGAAACCCCTGCGAGGATATGCCGATGCGCAGTTGACCCAAATGACGCCGACAGCGTCTTTCGTAATTTCTATGATTTTCAGGCAAGCTCTTCTACCGTCTGCATTTGGTACTTGAAGGGGATTTGAATAATGGAATATCTCTTATTTTGAATAAAAAATGAGAATGTTGGGTGAAGAAAGATAACACGAATCTGAACCTTTTTTAGCGTCATTTGAATATTTAGAATCGTAGATTTGTTAAATATTATTTCTTAATTTGCCTTCTTGAATGTGTATTTTTATATTTATTAATGTACTACATCAATTGTCTTTTTCCGATACGTTTCCGGAAGCAGTAAACGACTACTGCAACTTGAAAATTGCACCGTTTTATCTCTTATAATTCAATGTCATCTCGTAAAACATTTATTATCTCGTTATTTCAGTATCGCCAAACAGAAGTGCAACGCATCTTGAGGAATCTGTGTGAACAATGGAGTATTACGCTGTGTACTTAATTTGCCTTATTTCATACCAATGTGACTCGTAACCTTGACCGTTTCCATTTGATTCACACCATTTGTGAGAGGAAAAAAAAATCGTTTTTGCTATCCCTTAGCTTTTAGTTTGCGAGATCTTGAATAAACGGAAATATGAAACGATTTCAAGATTTAATATTGAAGAAAATAATGTATTAACGAAAAATCTCTAGCTTCAACAATGAATTTGTATGGCAAGTTCCAAACAGAATTAGTCATATTAGCTTATCAATAAGCAATACTATTTCAGAGAGCTCATTTCATTTATTTTTAATAAAATTACTCCGAAAATAGGTGTTTATAAAGTGGAACATGTAAACTACGTTTTACGAATTTTTGCTCAGTTTTACAAATCGAGTTATCGATCCTCTTCCTAATCGTTGAAGGTCAGTCAATAAGTCTGTGGCACAGACATAGTAAGACATGGAAATTCTAAACAACAAAAGAAATTTTCGTGATCGTACATAACATTGCTTTCTTTCGTTTATTAGCGACGCGAGTATCAGAATTTTTTTTATTGATATGATAGCATAGTTTTAACCACAGGACCTTCAAGGAAAGCAGGTTTTCCTTAGAGTACAAATATAAATACATTGACCGATAGGTCTTTTTTCGACCTAGTGCCTCCTGTAAAACTCCTTATTCCTTGACAAGACGCCTTACACTCCGTAACTACCAAAATTGAACAAGAACTAAGACATATTATCATAAACGGCAACCTGAAAAACAATTCCTTTATCACAGTTGAGCTTCATTTGTAAATTTTTTAATTCAAGCGCTTTGGGAACGTATATATTACCTTAACTATTAACATTAATTGCATAAAAAATAGATAGTTTTCTGAATCATGCTCCACAATTCATGGGTTATAATTAAAAAAACGAATTCCCCTGTACCTACATTTTTCTTTGCAAACTTGAAACTGGATGTAACCTTGACGGTAATATGAATCATGAAACGGACGTTCTTATAGTACTTGTTTTGTTTTGCTCGAAAATACACGTTTTTGTTAACGCTGCCTGAAAATTGCACATTTTGGAGTTTCACTGGACGAATTTGAAAGATTCATAGTTTTATTGCAAAATATATAATTCTTATATTAGCAACTTGTTTGAATTTACCTTTTTGAAGGTTTCATTTAAGAAAAAATATTTCATGACTTAATCCGGAAGTACATTTGGGAGGTCTATGAAGCCCGAGTGGCGTTTAATATATGTCAATTCTACATTTTGTTTCCCTATGAAGTGAGGGGTCTACTCCAGGGTTTGCCAACTCAATGCTGTGACGTCACAAAAATCTGCTCTCCTGTTTGGAACAGGGTCGGTGAGCAAAGGTAGTGCGGGCGGGCGTACAGTGTTCCAATGATGGTACGGACGAGGGGGAAAAGGTTCGCTCAATAATTACGTTTTTGACCGGTAATTATTATTTAAATGTTTACAGTTCAATAAAAATAAGAACAAATTTAAAAATTGAATAGATTATTTCATAACACAAAGCAATATCCAACTCTATTGATCGTAACCTGTATTGTAATTCCACTTCCATTCTTCTAAAACATAACATTTTTGGAGAATACAGTTTTAACATTTTAATACAATATTTTATACAATGTTACATAATAAAACAATTTTAGTTCATCCTGAACCAATAACACAGACACACAAAATAAAACTAGTGGTGCTGGAGAATGGCACATACTTTCCTGCACTATTTTTCTATTTCCTTTGGTCTCGGCTAGCTATACAAACTTGCCATATATTCTTGCTAGCTGTCATCTATCGCCGCCCACTGTACATTTTTTAAAAATGTTCTTCATTTTTCAATTTCCAAACAGTACAACGAAAATATTATTTTAAGAATGTTAAAGAGCAATAAAGCTTAGCCCTAAATGGCAATTTGCTTCGAAAAATTTGGAGTCGGTTTTAAGAAAATGGCGTTTATGCGCTACTGTAAATTCGAAATTTAAAACTCTTTTTCACAGAAAATTTTTGAGTTTTCGAAAAACTTCATGAGAATTCATTTCTAGCACTTCCAATCACAAATACAATAGTGTTTACAAATCGCTTTAATGATTATTAAAGGCATGAAAAATCTTTTAAAAATATGCATGTCGGTATTTTTTAAAACAAAAGAATACAACAAAATTAATTCTGTTATCTTAAACAATGCAATTAGCACTATATGTTCGAAAAGTTTTAAGAAAACATTTGCAGACGTTTTAGTAAAAAAAAGGGTTTGAATGTTTCTGAAAACGCGGAATTTTGAGCTCAGTTTAATAGAAAACTGTTGAGTTTTGAGAAACGTTACCTGACATTATTTTCAGGACATGTACTAATAAATACATTCATGTTAACAAATTACCGCTTACATTTTGGCAATTTTTGAAAAAAACTAAAGAAAGAGCAATACGGCGTTGGTCATCATTGCATTTAGCACTATCCCTACCAAAACTTTAAAGAAAAAATTGGAGCAATTTTTTTAGGAAATCTTGTTTTTGTAATTCTTTGAAATTGCTCAATTGCTTGCATTATTGTGCGAAAATTTCTAAAATTTTCAAAAAATGACCCTATTGATAGAACTGATTACGAGCAACAAATTTAATTGGAAGGAAAAATCTCTATCTTTAATTTTGTAGTTGTAGGAGGACGCCGGAAATATTTCAATCACTTGAAATTTTCAAAAAATCAGAATTAACCGTGAAAATTAGACCTATGTCACCATTATAATTGTAGTTTACTTTTATCGTACAAGAAGTTTACAGACAAAATTGGAGTTGTTGTTGAGAAAATTTTGAAAATGTCCAGGGAGTTTCATGTAAGGTCTCCAAATTTTAAGTAAAGTTTTTCAAAATCACAAAGCTTCGACTGGAGTTACATAGTCAGGGGTTTCTCCAATTTGGAAAAACTCTTACACATGGCTTAGGCGTAAGTGATGTTTATAAACTGACAGACGTACGTCTTGAAAAAAAGAAAAAAACAACTCAGGATGATGGCGCAATTCAAATTCATATTTGTATTCAGCGCGTCGTCATACATAGAGAAACATGTGACTATGTGACGTCACACCAGCTATGGCGTGTCTTGCCGACCAACCTAAGAAAAACTGGGTGGCTTGGGGAGGAGGAGCAGTGGGGTGGAATCCCTGCCTGGCGGTATATCTTTCTGGTAGTATGAATGATTTTTCATATTTGTTCAATCAGATAAAATAGTTTTAAGTTGAGCTAAGAAACCTGTCAAAAATTTTATTTTTATGTTATATTGTAATTACTCATATGTAATTTGGTTCAAGTGAACATTTTACCATTTTATCGGTGGTATTCCTTGTATGTAGGCCATATTTATGGACGATGTCTACAAATAAAAAATAATGCTACATTTAGAATAACAAAGAAAACACGTTAAAACTCCCATTTTGGTAGGTGCATTGTCTGCTCTACTATTTGATTGACAACCACTGTCTCATCCTTTTAATAGTTGGGCGACACTCCCAACCGAAGTGTGATATTCCGAAACGGTTGCATTGCCTCTTTATATGGACAAAGCTAAAAAGGAAGCAAACTAGCCTAAAGCGCCTAAAATTGATTGTGTGAGCGAATCTACGCAAGTACACTAACACTAGATTTTATTCCCCCTTTGGAACACTGCTTACGCCGTTGGATTTTTAATTTCCTTCGTAGCTCCGGAAACGAAATGGAATAACTTGGTTAATATGAAAGAGGAGAGTGCTTAATATTTAATGATTATTAATACTGTTTGATTAAAAGCAATTTACTGTCATGATTGAGAGTTGCCATTCGAATCTCTATTGAAGATTCGCTGCACGATGCTCATATGTTTCCAATTCCTCCGCTAACTCAGCCATCTGACTTGACACGTTTCCACTCTCTGATTGGCAGATTCTATGGACGCGAGAGAGGTGTCCTTACGTCACACACAGCTGTCATTCACCGACTTACATTAATCGGACCTTATATTTATTAATAATTGAATACATACCCCTTTTTGGATCTTGGATTCTTGTCAATATTTCAGTGAAAGCATCTAAAACGATTATTGAATTATGGTAAATAAACTGTTTATGTCATTTTTAATTTTAGTTCTGTGTTTGTGAGAGTCGTAAACAGAAAAAAAAAATATTTTCTCAGTTTATATAAAAGTTAAAAGACAATACTTGAAAATGCAATAAAGAAAAATTACTTTCATCTGGTCGTGTGAGTTAGTGCTGACCTAAATGTATCATTAAATGATTTTGAATTAAAATAAAATGAGTCAGAAAAGGCTGCTTAAAAAATAATGGATGACACACGTAGTGAAAGTGATTTTATTTTGTTCAAGACTATGCCACTTGGCCTATTGACCTCGAGGTGCAACCTTTCCTACTAGCAAAATTAAATGCCACTTTTACTATTCGTGTTCTAGAATGTTACTTCAACTCGATAAGATCCT